AAAAATATAATTGATAAAAAATAATTGTTATCAATTAATTGATGATTCAATCGATTATTGTTTAATTAATTATTTAATCCCCCCTTGACCTACATTCCCCCTACCCTTCCTCCTTGACCTACATTCTCCCCCATCCTTCCTCCTTGACCTACATTCCCCCCACCCTTGACCTTGACCTATATTTGATCCAGAATCCCCATAGTATATCTACTGGCTTACTTAGCCTTTCTCAATCGCTATTATATGATATTACAAACTAAACCGAATCTACGCATATGGAAATTTAAATAAATATCGAATAGATCTTATTGTCCTCTTCTTCCGGCAAAATGTAATTCCATATTAGATGTTTAACGTGTAGCTTCATTATACAAACTATGCTTCACCAGCGGATTCTATGTGGATCAAACACAATTGATACGCGTTACATAAATTCACGGTAACTGAGACTGCGATTTTTTAACACTTACGATGACGGTGTATAATATATTAAGCTTCCAACAAGATGTTATGTTTGCGAGGATCTATTGCGGACTAAAAGAAGAGCGTCAAATATCTTGTTTGGTGCCTCCTCGCAGTAGAGCAAGAACGGGAAAAACATTTTGGAAGCCATCTATATCAGAAGCAAGAGACGGTATTTTTTTACAAGTGAAAATTCCTGGCGACATTGAGACAGCTAAACAGAACAAGATCGACTGTATGTACAAGAAGGGTCTAACAGTTCAACCTTACATACTAATTGTTGGTTCCAATTTAAATAACATTCAATCTTTTTACGTAATTATTAATAACAAAAATTATCAAACAAGTACACTTCTTGATGCTTTCAAATTTTGTTTCCAAACATATTTTGTATTGGATATCAAGTATACGCCCAAAAGTCAGTATCTTTGGTATCTGTTCCAATGGGAATTATTTAATATTATATCCGACAAAGATGTAAAAATTCCCTTTTTAAATGATTTATTACAGTTTAAGAAATAATTTGGTATAAACAGTGCAGTGTATTTAGATCAATGTATTAATATAATTACTGAGCGTTTCATTTGTCGAATTAAAAAAAAATTATTATTTATACATAATATTATATACATATATACGCTAATTATACACGTATATACATATACATATATATATTAATACGGAAAGAAAAATGAAACATAAAAATATGATATGCTTTGAATGCTTAAAATCATTTGTAAGTACCGATATTTTGATACAACATATCAGACATTTGCACCCATTTGCTCAAAATTTTTTCTGCAAGCAAAATAACTGCCAGCGTACTTTTCCGATTTTAAATGGTTTAAAGAAACATTTAAATAAGAATCATACAAAACGTGAGATAATATTACACTCTGATGCAAGGGAACAAGAAAGATCCAACAATTTAAATCTCTTAGAATATAAAAATGGCTGCGTTCAGCAGAATGAAGCGAAGAATAAGCGATTAGTGATGCGTTGCAACAGTTGTGAGTGTTCTGCTAAACTCTATTTTGTGCGATACTGTGTATACCTCTGATATAACCAGAAAAGTGATATCTATTAAAAATAATGGGAGCAGCATTATTAATTGCAATGGATAAAGGATGCGACATGAATAATATAATAAATTTTATCATGGACGATCTAATGGAACCATTGCCAAATTATTTAGAGGTTAGAAGACGCAATGGAAAGATAAAAAATCAAAATTATTTTGAATATATAATTCCGAGATACACGGATATACAATTTGCAGAGCATTTTCGCATGTCACGGATTACATTTGAGGTAACTATAAAAAATTTAGAATTATATTTAATATAGAATTATATCTCCTATTAAATATTATTAATAATATATGTATTATTTTAGGCATTGTTAAATATAGTAACACCATTATTAAATTTGGAGATAAATA